CCCCCGTCTCGGCCCGGCCCTCCCCGCTGCCCGGCGCCGGGCTGCAGCCCGCCTGTCGGCACACGCTGCGCTGCCGGGTCTGCCATAACTGCTCTGTTTGTACGAGCGTTTCAACCCTTTACGATCAACAAGAGTTGAAGTGTCCAAAGTGTAGGATCGTTTTTGAGGCAGCTTATTGCCGCGGCAGATGCCAAACCCAAGTCGCTCTCCGGGAGCCTGCGCTGATTTCGGGGTTTGCTGTCAGCCCTGCCTTACCACTTGCCTCAAAATGAAAAAGTGCTTCAACTTCGATGACTCCATCCTCGCTCACTCGCTGGCGAGTTGCAGTGAGCAATAGAAAGTAAATAAGAAGGTTTTTTTGCCTACTTATTTGCATATATTTTCAGCATACCGTAGTTTTTCAGTAAATGCAATCATTTTGAGCTTCCAATATGATGATTTCCTGTTTAAGACCTGGCAACACCGCCCGCACGTTGCATCAGTTGTGCAGGTGAGCTGTGGGTGAAGTGCTCAAGATAAGTTGAGGCTGGTGCCACCTGTGCAAAATAACTGCAGCAAGGGAAAAGCATCCATCCAGCAATAGGAGCTAGCTATGAAGATAGTGCTTCGAAACGTGCAGCCACTGTAGAGCAGGTTTCTAGCAGCTTTCCTCTGAAGATGTAGCAGGGTCCTCGGGTTTCAAATGGGTGAAAAATAACAGGGCCCTCACTGCAACAGACAGATTCTTGGCTAGTTTGGGTCCCAAATTTCAATTTAGATTCCCCTGCATGTTGTGGACTTGCACAACTTGATTATAACGGAGGTGTTTTTCCTGGATGCAGGTATTCTATATTTTTTCATTTTAAATATCATCACATGTGCACCTCATGTGTGTCAGCAGTGCCTCAGGAAATGAGAACTTGAACGCTGAACTGAAGCAGCTACAGCTCTACATAAATAAGTGACATTTGATTAGGTTCACTGCCCAGGCATAATGAAATGCAAAAAGTAACAGAAGAGTGGGTGTGTTCATGGAGAAGTTAGATTTTGGGACGCGCTTAATTTATTACAATATAAACTGATACAGGTTATCTTGATGGTGTCCTTTTAATCAGGAGTCCAATTGTTTATCTGTCCTTCCTAGGGAAAAGGGTGATCCAACTTCTCTACTACTTTAATCTTGCCTGATTATCTGTATGCGGATAATAATAAATAAGAGAGAATCACATTTAGGTGTACTGGGTATCAATCAGTAATGATTTAGCAGTATGTACAGAGGTACTTAGCTGTCTTAGCCTGAAGTCAAGCAGAAGATAAGAAAGGGTAGATATGCATCTCATAGACTGACTAAATAAGATTATATAGAGAGCATAAGCTTTTGTGAACTCTAGCTCACTTCACCAGATGATGCCAAGCAAGCTCAAGTACACAAAAAAATGTGCTCTCTATATATTTACTTAGTTTGTAAGTAGAGACCTAGTGAATTTAAGGAGACTTCCCCCCAATTTTGCAGGCAGAATGTGGGGTGGGGGCCATGAACGACTTGTGCCCCTGGCAACGGGGGGGGGGGCACGGTGGTGGCGGGAGCGTAGCAACGGTAGGCGGGGGAGCTCCTGCAGACACTGCTGGCGCTGTCGACCCGGGAGGGGGGCGGGCAGCAGTGGCGGTGGCCAGCAGGGATTGCTGGCAGGGGAAGCAGCAACCACCCGCAGGCAGTTCCTTTGTGTAGGGGGTGCACCGCCACGCTCAGGGGGTGCATGTGCACCTGTGTGCACCCCCTATGCATGGCCCCTAGCAGGGACTGCAGCCATCTTCCTGGCAGCCCTTTGAGTGCCTCCCCACTTCCTCACCTCAGCAGGTTGCTACAGCACCCTGAGGACTCCTGGCTCACTCTGAGGAGCTAGCATTTTATTTTCTGTAACTTTTCTTGGTTTTATTCCCCACAGATTTCATGTGGATTTCATGAAATCAGCAAAATCACAATTTTGGTAGGTCTGTTTATAAGGTGCATATATATACTTTGCCTTTAACTGTATAATTCTGTAATAATTTGATAGAGATGTTGAATAGAGAGGAGGCTAAACTGGCAATCTAAAATATTGATTCTGCAAACACAAGGATGCATGCTGAACACCAGGGGTCCTAGTTTTCTCTAATTTAAAAACCCCAATTTTTGGTTTAAAAAAAGTAACCCCAAATCCATGTGTGTGTGTGTGTGTGTGTGTACATACACACACATTAGTGGTGTTTCATTTTAATCATGGAAAAATGTGGATTTGGGGTTACTTTTACACACACACACACACACACACACGTT